GTTGTTAATTAACATAGATAGTAGGGGTTTAATTAGCTAAGGGTGTTTAATAAAGTTTGATGGGGGTGTGGGCGGTGGTTAGGGTGATAGAGGTCAGAGGTCAAGGGTGGTAGTCAAAGGGGTCGTTGGGCGGGGGTGTTGGGTTGACGACGTCGAGTTAAGCTAGCAAGGTGGGGAAAAGGGGTATAATGGTGGGTTATTTGCCTGGATTTTGGTTTCTCCGTTTTGCCTCTGATTGGTGAGTAAAAACTCTGGTGGGCCCGGAATCGTTTTTCCAGTTGTGCTACCAACTGTTATGGTATGGTGAGGTGTGTATGTAGTTCATTGGTTTATCTATCTATCTTGTGTGGTCTCGCTGCTTTATGTAGCAGCCAGTGGGCTGCTTATGTAACACTGCAGCTGTTCCACATCCAAGTACAGTTAGTGACACCCAGTTTCCGTACAGTGCCAACGCCCCTATATTCCTTGTAACTTCACCGTTTGCATTGACTTCGCACAGTGGCCCCTCATCGCAGAATGTACCTGCCATCCCCACGTACAGCTTTCACCTTGCTTTCGTTTCTATGTACACAACCTCACCTTACAAGGTCGAGACTATCAGCAACTCAAGGCCGATGCTCAACTACCTGCTCATCCACAACACCTTTCCACGGTACTTCATCACTTCGCGATTCCACATCTTTCCCCAAACCATGTATTCTGGGCGAGTTTGACAAGGTAGGTTACCTGGCGCTATTTGCAAATATGACTGATTGCTCATCAACCTCCAAAGCATCATACCACACTTAAAGCGTGGCCAATTCTACTGCCTCACATAAGAACGGCCTCGAAGGAATTTTCACCATGCAAAACAGCCCGCGAGGACCTGGTCTTGGCCAGTCAGGTGGTTCTCATACCAACGGCCTTGAGGACCACCTGCGAAACCTGATCCTCACCAACGGAACCCCGGGAACAGGCCCAACTCACTTCCCTAATGCCCCGCGAACGAGTGCGCCTCCCTCCAGCGATGGCCCTGTCAATGACCCTGTTGTCTTTCATCCTGAAGATCCGTCTAGCCTTGCGGCTACCTTGAACGGGAAACCTCCTGCCTCGCCCAAGGTTGCTAGAAAGCGCCCAAACCAGGCCCAGAGACGCCAGATGAATGCACAGTTGGCCATTCCCATCGACCCTCGCCCGCCACCGCCCACTCAACATGTACGTCCATTCTCGGGATCTCCTAACTACCCGTCCCATAATCCTGGATTCTACAACACCAGAGGGAGACACCCCCATCATCACCCAGACCCCCATCATGGACCCGGGCAGACGGCAGGCCCCTACGGCGGTGTTCAACCTCGTTCGCCCAGACAAAATGGATATCACCAGCCTGCAAATCAAGAAGCATCCAGAAGCCATCAAGATCAGCACATTAGTGGCCGTCAAGACAATGGTGCGCCACGCTATCCACGAAACTTCCATGGGACGCTATATAGTCCCCGCGGTCAACATCACCAAGCTCGGCCCGAGGAGTTAGAGAACCAGGTCGCCTACCTAGAGGGACTTTGCGGCACGCTTGTTGCGGGCGCTGAGATTGAACGAGGGGAGATTGCCGAGAAGGAAGCTTTCCGTACCAAGATTGAACAGGTTTGTCGAGCCGCAATCACCGAGTATGAGGTGACTCAAAATGGCTTGGGCAACTTCCCCTCGCCCTCTGTCCAACTGAAATGCTTCGGCAGTCTTTCTTCTGGCTTCGCGACGAAAGCATCAGACATGGATCTCGGTCTGGTTTCCCCACTCTCACAGCCCCAACCGGATGCCGCCAGCTCCCCGATTCCCAGACTTATCGAGAAGGCGTTTCTTGACCTCGGTCTTGGTGCTCGCCTCCTCACTCGAACACGGGTGCCTATAATCAAGCTTTGCGAAAGGCCTCCCGAGAAGTTGCAGTTGGATCTGCTAGAGGAGCGCGAAAAGTGGGAGAAGGGCATCGTCGACATTGAGCATGCTGACGTTGCAGACGAGGACGAGAACGCCGAAATGGAATCACACGTCAAAGAGGGAACCGACGAGTCGACAGATGATCCAGCTAGCCAGAAAGCGGATGTTTTCTCTCTTACTGCTGCGTCTACAAACGAGCCTAGGCTGCCGACGATTCGCCAATCCGATAGCCAATCCCTGTCTGCTTATTACAACGTTGCGAAAAGGGCATTGAGAAAGATGGGAGGCCGAGACATCACGCTTTCGAACTGCAGGGAGCTTGCAGAAGAGGACTATGCCCTACTAAGCAAAGTCTGTGAAGCCTTCTTCAACGGCCTTCGCGACCCGGAACTGAAACAAAGGCTCTCGAACTACCTCTCTCTGTCCTTCAAACCACTCCCAAATGCCCCAAACTACCGTTCTCTGGCTGGTGTCTATGCGCAGATGGAGGGTGAAAGAATCCTTATGCTTTGCGAATCAGACGGCGCCATTGCAAGCGCTGAAGGTTCCGAGGAGTCGACACGGGTTTTGATCGCATCCTGGAAAGCTCTTCAAAACCAGCCTCACTTCGGCGTTGAGCCCCTTACGTACACGAAGCAACTACAATTACACCTCGAGAAGCTCAAGAAGCTGCCGACTGCGCAGTTGCTCACCCTTGAACAGAGCCAGCACGAGGCCGCTACTGGGTACCAAGCGAGAACTCTGAAAATTCTATCAAACCTCCGGCCCCGGAACGATAGTGATGCAGACCTGGCAAGACGAATCATCATTGACAAATACACCGCGGGCATCTGGCTCAGCTCCGTCCGCGGCCAGGTCCGCGAGTTCGTTGACAATACCAATGGATCACTCAGTCTCGTCGCTGTCGCCCGCCGTCACAAGAGCCTCCAGCTTGCCCTTGAATTGGAGAAGGCTGTGGAACATCAACTGTACGACCCAAGTCTCGAGAGTGACATAAGAGAATACATTTCGATTCTCCGGGGTCCCATGAGGCACAGCAACGTCCAAGATCCGCACTACGACTATGTCATTCCTGTCACGAAGCAGAATATAGACACCATTAAGCGCATGCGAGGCCTTAAGGACCCCGCCAAGATGGCCGTCAACCAGCCCCGCGACCCCTACAAGGACAAGCTCGAATTCCCCAAGAACGGTGTTGGTGTCCAGTGCGATATCAACTTCGCCGCCCACCTCGCCCTGCACAATACTCTCCTTCTGCGTTGCTATTCCCACACCGACCCCCGCGTTCGGCCTCTGGTCCTGTTTGTCAAGCATTGGGCCAAAGTCCGTGGCATCAACACGCCCTACCGCGGCACACTTAGCAGTTACGGCTACGTCCTGATGATGCTACACTACCTTGTCAACGTCGTCCAGCCTTTCGTCTGCCCGAACCTCCAAGCTCTCGGGCCGCCGCCGCCGCCTGAAGGGATGTCGCCCACCGGCCTCGACGAGAGCATCATGTGTCGGGGCCACTTCGTCGGCTTCTGGCGCGACGAGGATGAGATCTTGCGTCTCGCCCAGATGAACCAGCTCAATAGTAACCACGACTCTCTCGGCCAACTTCTCCGGGGCTTCTTCGAGTACTACGCGCAGAATGGCTCGATGAGCACGTACCCAGGCCGAGGCTACGACTGGGGCCGTGACGTCCTCAGCATCCGCACCCCTGGCGGCCTTCTCTCCAAGGCTGACAAGGGATGGACTGGCGCCAAGACTGTTGTCGAGTATCGCCCCAACGCTGCCGTCAGCTCTCCTAGCGTTGAGACCCCTCCCGTACCGCACGTAGCTCTGAAGCCGCTCGTCAACCCGCTCAACTCAACCGCAACCACCGACGGCGCCATCACGCAGGAGGTCGCGTCGCCCAGTCTCAGCAAGGCCGTTACGATCGCGACGGCGGCGAACAAGAATGGCGAAGTCAAGGAGGTGCGCCACCGCTACCTCTTCGCCATTGAAGACCCATTCGAGCTCGACCACAACGTTGCCCGCACGGTCACACATAACGGCATTGTCGCCATCCGCGATGAGTTCCGGCGCGCGTGGCGCATCATCAAGGCTGCGGGCACGGGCAACTACCACGAAGATCTGCTCCAAGACGTCGCCGCCATCAAAGAGGAGGGCGAGAAAAGTACTTATCTGCAGCTGCTGGACGAAATTCACGGATGGGAATTGTTTGAATAGGACTCTGTTGGCTTTTACTCATGTACTGCACTCAGGAATTCAGACGGGATGTGGTACTCTGAATTTGAAAACTGATGGTCGCTGTAACAAGGTGTGAAAAAGCATCAAACTTAAGGCTCCGAGGGACCTGCCCATGGGACGATCTAACGAAGTAAAAAAAGACGGAAGAAAAAGTCAAGGATGAATGTACTGTATTACTAGATGTAGCTGTCATTACTCGGAGGAGTTGAACTCTGGCAACACAGCATCACGTACTGCGTCGTTCAACACTGGCATCTCCTGGATATATGTTCGAAGGTTTCTCTTATCCCTCTCCCACCCGGGCCCGAAGGTGATGGACATGTCAGAAGACAGCCGGAAGAGGGATCTTCTTTGAATCGGAAATTAATCTACCATCGCTCCGTTAAGGACTTGTTCTGAGATGAACAGAGCCCCTGCTGTCCAGAAGACAGCATCGATGGGGTGGAAGTGATCAGGCAGTAAATGCCCTTCAGTTCCCTATGGAAAAGGAAAAAGGAAGTTATATGGGGTAGAAAAAGAAAAGGATCAGTTGCAGACGCACGGCCACACCGTTAAAGGGCAGCGGCCGGTTGAAGGTATCAAGATTTCATCATTCATCTAATACTGACCTGGGATTTCGTCTTTGATAGATCTTGCCCCGAGTCTCCCCTTGCTTTTTTGATTGCCACCATTTGGCTGTTCCATTATCTGCCGTGCCGTGTCCAGAACGCCGCGCTGAAATGCCCTCAAGTATGCCACACATAAACTGGACTAGATAATCCGTGGGCCAGTCAAAATAGAAAGGCAAGAGAGCCATGTCTCTAGAGAACAGCAACCGGAACAATACCAGGTTTCACGCTCTCTCGCTGGATCTAGTCCAGAATGTGTTGGTACAGAGGAGAAATCGACTCGCCGTAGTGGTTTCGACGGATGGCTTCGGCAAGAAGGAAGGAGAGATCCAGGACTACGAGCTTAGGTGCACGCTTGGCCTGGTCCTCGGGGATGGGGAAGCTGTTGGTCACCAGAATGGTGTCGATGCATTCGCATTTCTGCAACTGCTCGAGACTATCGCCACCAAAAACACCATGGGTGGCCATGCAGTAGACCTTCTTGGCATGCCCCTTCTTGACAACGGTCTCGGCCGCTGCAATCCAAGAGTTGGGCTTGTCAATCATGTCGTCCACGATGAAGACAGTTCTGTTCTTGACATCACCGACGAGGGTGATCATGTGCTCGACCTTGGGATCCTTCAAGACTTCGTCCTCTTCGTCCGACTCCGGTGCCGCGTCTCCGGAGCCTCCCAGAGCATGGGGCGCAGGGGCAAAAAATGATGAGGCATGTGACGCGGCCATGGGATCTTCCTCTCGGCCGCTCCCGCTCACAGTCGACGCAGCAGGCGAGGGATAGTCATCGTCCACTATGTGACCCTGTACCAGTCGGCCGTGCGTAACTTCCTGAGCGCGACGGTCGTCGTATTGTGCATCGCTTTCCTCCTCGTCCATAGAGCCGTCGCCAGGTTTGGATTGCGTAGGCGTGGTGGGCCGGTCATCCGAGGAGCGAGGGTGGGAGCGTGGGGCGCTTGTGCGCTGGGGAGAGCCGGAGGCGTCGGCTCTCACCCTAGCAGCACGTCCAGCTACAGGAGGTGTAGAGGGTCGTGGAGTAAGGGGCTGGCGACTACTCTCCAGTACCGGCTCCCGATCCAGGTTATCCAAGTGGTGCATGATCATACTCGACGTCATGTTGGTTCCCTTTCGGTTCTTCTCCGTAGTGACCATGCCAAAGTTGAGCTTGAGCGCGTCCGCAAGCGATGTCACACGCTTGGTTCCGCCGGCATTCTTGGACACGACGACAGCCTCCTTCCAGTTGGGCACGTTGTGACGGATCCATCTCGCGATCAACGGCTCGGCATGGAGATTGTCGACCGGGCACTTGAAGAATCCCTGCATCTGGGACGCGTGAAGATCGACGGTAATGACGTGCTTGACGCCAGCGACACCCAGAAGATTCGCAAGCATTCTCGCCGTGATTGCACCGCGGTGGGATTTCTTCTTTGACTGACGGCTGTAGGGGAAGTACGGGAGTACAGCTGGAAGAAGAGGCCTGTCAGAGGAATGGTGATACATACTATGACGGGAGGAGCAGAGCAGAGGAGAGCATAGCTTACCAGTAATCTTATTGGCCGAGCCGCCATTGCAGGCCGAGATCATGATCAACAACTCCATGATGGTGTCGTTGACCTTAGCACTGCCAGACTGGACGACGAAGACATCCTTCTCTCGTACACTAGTCAAAATTCGCACACTCGTCTCGCCCTTTTGTGTGACGGGTCAGCCTCAACAGGGAGTCCAAGCAAGATTGATTGAGATTGAATCCAATCAAGACAAGTATGGGGAGGCCAGCCGCGGCAAGGTGTCGTGGGAGGAAGAGAAGGAGAGCAACAAGCGCAGCTTTCCCATCTCCTACCGTTGATATCCAAGGCAACAGCAACCGCACTCAGCTTACATTGGAAAATTGGGTAAGCTCCGCCTCGGCAGGAGCCATGCCCAGGTTCTCACATATCTGAGTGGTGAGGACTGGGCAGGAAGAGCCCGCGAAGATGAGAGTGCCGCGCATTTTGGAAAGAGGAATACGAAGGACGAAGAGATTTGGTTCGCGAGGTGGGGAGCTTTTAATATCGCTGCGAAGGAAAAAAATCGAGCCGACCGGGGGGGATACGGAGCAGATAGCAGAAGTGGGGGTGCTACAGTGCGCATGTGTTACTTGTCTGCCGAAAGCCTCTTATAGAGCACTGTATTTATCCGGTCGGAGATACCTAGGTATTCGTCCCAATAACAGAAACCAAAGCGCAGCTCTCGCCTTTTGTATACCTTGCCATGGCCAGCAAGGTTGCTGGTGAGTGAAGCCATCTCCGGTTCCGCCTACAATGTGACTTAAAGAGCAAGGTTTTTGACCGCAATGGTGGTAGAGTTCGGAGCCATCGTGTGGCTGGCAACTGTCACAGCCTTAACAGGAGGTTCGATAGTAACATCGCCTGTTGTTGCCACGGTAGGAGTGAAGTGAGATTCAGCAGTTGTTTTGCGTTATTAGGTATTCTATATCGTATTAAGAGATTGAGATGCGGCATAGGTTAGAAGTGCTGCGTATCGGGTTGTCACGTATCGTGATATTACATATGTACCGGCTGAACTGCACTAGACCGCTTATGGGGGGTTCAGAGCCATGTATCCGTATATCCATCAATTCATCCCAACAACTAGAATTTTAGCTGCACCGTGCGGAAGGCACTGTGATATCGCGACGCATTCCTGTTGCATTCGAGTAGTCCCACCAAGTGGATTTACTATATACCAAAATCCTGCTGCGTCACTTCTATATGTATTCCAACGAGGCGTGCTATTCATGAGGCCATCTCTGGAAATGTTGAATTGACGGGACTTCTTTGGGCACTCATTCGGCCTCATTTACTCGTTTCAACTGACAGCAAATGTGATTTGTGAAGCTCAGGTCAGTGAGATGCTGTGGAACGGCTGGCACCTTGCTTTCGGCATTGAACGAAACGGGCCCATCAAAGGACTTATCTTAGTCTCTGTTCTAATGCATAAGTCAGATTCAAAATTGTTGCTTAATACCATGGGCATTCCTCATCTTCTAAACCATCTCTCCCCATACGGAGTATTGGGACCTATCGACGGCGATAGAGTCGTGATCGATGGCCCCGCTTTGGCATACCACATCTATCATCTTTGCACAAGAAGCACTTCCGGAGTGCCTTCTTACGATTTGCTTGGGAGAACAGCACTCGCATGGTTGGACAAGCTCACAGATCATGACATATCCATGTAACTTCCCCATCGTCAAGATCTTGTCGGACGTCTCCAGCTAACGATCTGAAGCGCCGCCATCTACTTTGACGGCTTTCTCCCGGCGTCAAAGTCGGAAGTTCGCTTGGAGAGGATACTCAAAGTGTCTTCGTCTTTGAAAATATACCGCTTCGGGTTCCCCAATGGATGCCCGGCGCGACAGGTAGCTTCAACACGCGTCTCTCTGCCTCCCCTCTTCCCGACCGACGCGCCCAAAAGAGACCAGCCCCCGATACCGCCACCGCCGTTTCTAGTCGCCGCTGTTGTCGATAAGCTCCATCAGACAACCAACTACGCGACCCTCGTCCGCCTAGTGCCCGGAGAGGCGGACGCATACTGCGCCGAGGATGTCCTCCGGAATGGAGGAACTATCTTAACTTCGGACTCGGACTTGACAATCCATGACTTGAAGACTGGTGCCGTGGCCTTCTTCAGGGACCTTCACGTCACCTCCTCCGATGAAAGGGTCAGCCTTGTTGGCCCGAAATTTTCACCGTCGGATATCGCAAAGCGTTTGCAGCTTCCAGAGGACCAAGGTATGCGAAGGTTCGGGTACGAGCTGTCCAAGTCAAGCCGGCCAAAGTTCGCCCAGGTTCTCGAAAATTGCAAAGGAGACGTTTCAGATCCAGACGAGTTTCGCAGCTTCTGCATTCCATACGATGCGCTGGAGACGACAGATTGGAGCCAAGTTCCAGTACTTGGTGGCATAGATAACCCCACACTCGACGCACGGCTATCCGAGGTCGTCCTACAATGTGTAGGATACTCTGGTGTCGCGAAGCCACCTCTAGGAGACTCTGGTGCAGAGGGCTGCATGATGTGCCTGCCGCCTCTCTTGGACTGCCCAGCCCGCGCAAGCGCATGGGACAGCAGCGCCTCTATTAGGCAACTTGCATACAGCTTGACATGTCTACTACGACCCGGGGCTGTATCTCATGTCAGGGAATACCGAAGGGTATACTCTGGGGCGAATCAGGGAAAGCATGTTGCTATACTCCCCAGGCCGTGGATCAAAGACGCGGTGGATACTCTGTTGAATACCCTGTCTCAAGCCAAGAACAGCCTTGAACACGAGAGGTCAACATGGCAAGCCGTGGCGGTACAGATGATTATCGCTGACTCGCAGGAGGAAGACAAGCAGGATGCATGCCTCAACTCCATTAAGCAAGTCCTCTCGGTCGCCAAGGACTCAAATCTCGTCCCATGGGACGTCGTCCATCTGTCGGCGCAGGTCCAAGCGACGCTCTACTCCCTTCGTCTCTTGGCCCAGGTCCTAGACCTCATGTATGTGACCAAAGCAGAGAAGCCTGTCCAAGGTTCAAAACAGCTGCGTAACTTGCTTGCCACCCTGCCCACTCTCACGGAGTATCCATCAGTGAATGGAACGATAGATCTACTAGCGGGCATGAAGGACCACAATTTGCTGGCCAGGATTGCAGAAGCACTCGGGTTGCCGGAAGAGGCTCTTTTGCCGGCGAGAGAGAACAAGAGTAAGAAAAAGAAGCGAAAGAAGACGGCCAAGACTGAGACTGGAGTCAGGCCGGAGAAGAAGATATCATTGAATCCATTTGATATCTTACGAGCCGAGTGATTTCCTGCACGAAGAAAGCACACTCGCCGATGGTTTACATTCAGTCACATTCGGGAATGGGAGGAGTTGATAATGAATGTTATCTTCATCGTCCAATATGAGATGTAGAGTCACGGGAGCAGAATATGATTGCAGATTCGATATCCCATCGTCCTATTGCAAAGTACCAGCCCCTTCACTCACTCATTATTCATGGCTTATTGCACTTACTCAAAACAACGTTCCGTCATCGTGGACCTGCGGAACAAACCCTGGACATAGCCAGTCTCTGCCCTCGGGGCAAGTAAAGATGACCTTCCCATCGCCACGCAATAGACCCATCTTGAACCGCCAGTCCGTCTTCACTGCAATGCCGTTGATCCGGAGCCAGTAAGACAGTATTCCCTCTGGCGTGCACCTTTCCTGACCATCAGGGGTTTTCTCCCTGGACTTGGTATTAAAACCCTTCCACTTCGCCATCTCCTTCTCCAATGTCCGCGTGTGAATGAACTCGCGGTAAAGAGCCAGGTAGGTGAACATTGCGTTGGGACGACCGAAGGCTGTGATGTCGGTGACACCCGCCCGCAGCTCGCCATCGTGAAGCATTGCATACCAGGTCCAGTCGAGGGTCACGCGAGGTGCGAGGATGCCATTCTCAGGCACCTTCAGCGACGAGAGCGCGGGTGAGTCGCCCCAGTAGAGGAGGTCGAGTCGGCCCTTGTAAATGTAGTCATACGAGACTCCTTCCTTCATCATGTAAGCTTGCACCTGCTGACTGGCGAGGTACAGCGCCTTCCACTGGCTGAGCTGGTGATTTAGCTTTTCCTCACCGCACTCCGTGGCCAGCACCTTAGGGGGGTTTGCGGCGCTCTCCTTGACTTCGTCCAGTTTCTTGACCTCGACCGTCTTCAGGGCGTCTCCGAAACAGGATTTGAGATGCCTCGTTATGCTCTCTTTCCCACCCGAGTCGCCGGACTCATGGTACGCGTCTTCAAGGTATGTGAAGACGTGGACGTCCACACCGCCGCTTCCAGTCCACGTCTTTACAAGCTTGTTGTTCTGTTCCTTGCATGTTTTCAAATATGTGCGCAGGAATCCAGTGTAAATAATCGCAAGTCGGCCCATGTCGTCGGCGGCACGGTGTAGGAGGCACGTTGTCTTGCTGCCAGCGCGAATGTGTAGCTTGCCAGAGTCCAAGAGTTCGAGAACAGGCTTCTCGTTGCCGGTCGCGACAGAAGCGCAGTCTGGTAGGAGGTTCGATACCCATGGCGTCGCGCCGTACGGAGCGGCAGTTTCGTTGGCCCAGGAAAGCATCAGCACGCCCTCTTGGGTCAGCTCGACCTGCCATGTAACGGGCCAGTAGTACTCAGTGTCGGAAGTGAATAGCTCGACATCGGTTTTCGCGTCGATGAGCGAAAGCGAGCCGCTATCGAGAAGGCGAAGCTCGTAACGGCCGTTTGGGGAGACGAGACGGAAAGGAGACAGGGTCTGACCAGCTTCGAGCTTGGAGACCGTCTTCGTGCCAGGCTTCGCGTCTGGAGGCGAGACAGAAGTCGGCACCGTGGGCGACCCATTTACCTCCGTCGTGTATGTGGACTCGGTGGGCTCACCGACAGGATCATTCGGCTTTTCGGTTCCAATCGAGGCATCTTTGCTGTCGGTCGGAGGAGTGCTATGACCGAGACTGGTGGGCACGTTGTAACCAACGCGGGGAAGCTGGGGAACCAAGAAGATTGCTGCAATGAGAAAGAAGGCGGCCACAATGGCCAACCGCACACAAGTACCGCTAAGCATACCGGTAGTTGTCTCAAGACCATGGGCTTCGCATACTGGACCGAAGGTGCGTTGTTTCTTTAGGTCCATCACGTGTAGGGCACATCTAATCCTAGTCATATGTCATGCGGATATACATCCCCTGGTCATAAAGGCTATTTGGGCACATACCCTGGTCACGTATGCCATGTGGATACGCGGCCCAGGGGTCCCCTGTTACCGATAGCAAAAGGATGCCGTTGCATCTATAGTGGCATCCAGGTGAGTAATCCGCGCTTGCGATTACGCAAGTTCACCAGCACTTTTGGTACGATAAGACGCACACATAGGCCCGGCAAATCCGACAGAAGAATATTTCCCGGAGACGATTACTAACTGCAGCAATTAGTGCACCTAGCAGATCCGCTTAGCGATTAATAGGTCATCCAGAAACTTGCAGTTACCACCAATATGCTGAGACACGTATTTAGTTCGATAGGCAGCTTCCTATAATTAGTGACTCTTTGGACATAGAAAACGGTATTCCTTAGCACTACCACATACAACATGATACTAGCATTTCCGTTTGAACTCTCAATACATCAATTGTGGCGCAATGAACGAAACCATGAAAGCAGTCGGTAAGAAATTCCGGTTCTGTCGGTTTTCAGAATGCTGAAAGCAACATAGATATCAAAGGGGGTAGGGGACCCAAGGAAAACCTGCACATCAGGTCAGATATGCCGAAACCCATTCCCGGTGAAGGAGAGGTGCTTGTGAAGGTCAAGGCGTTTGGCATCAACAGAATGGACACAATCCAACGCATTGGGGACTACCCTTTACCGCCACAAGCGCCCAAGACCCTTGGTGTTGAGTTCAGCGGCACCATTCAGGCATTCGGCCCGGGCAGTCATGGCCTGTTCAAACAAGGGGATGAGGTTTTCGGATTAGCCTATGGAGGTGCCTACGCTGAATTCATCGCTGTGAATCATCAAATGTTGCTGCACAAGCCTACGAGTTTGACATGGGAGCAAGCTGCCGGGATTCCTGAAGTGAGCTTGCCTTTACGTTTCTCAAAAGTGCTAGTGGCATACTGATTTGTTTTCAGACTTGGATTACCGCTACACAGGCTCTTTTCCTCGTCGGGGAATTTGCTGCAGGCAAGACAGTGCTCTGGCATGCTGGGGTATCAGGCGTCTCTATTGCCGGCATCCAACTTGCCAAGGACGCTGGCGCAGCTGCTGTGTACGCTACAGCTGGATCCCGCGCAAAATGCGATTTCGTTGTCCGTGAGATTGGAGCAACAGCAGCCTTTGATTATAAAACAGAAGACTGGGTGGCACGTATAAAGGAGACAACTAACGGTAAGGGGGTGGATGTTATCATTGACTTCATCGGTGGCAGTTATTTTCAAAAGAATCTTAACGTTACAGCCTAGGACACTTACATCGTCCAATTAGGCTTACTTAGGGGAAGTAAGATTAACAATACAGATCTTGAGCAGCTGCTCTATAAGAGGATTCGAATCAAGGGAAGTACATTACAAAGTATGTCAGAGGTATTATAGTACTAAGTAGAGGAGTCCACAAATAGCATAGTTAGGGGTTAATTATAACTATTTTCTAATCTACCTTCTCCTAATTCTCCTGTTCCTATAAACTCTGCTTTTATATAACCCTTAGATAATAGTTTTCTTAGTTATAGCCTTATAACTAGTAGTCCCCTAGTGCCCTCTACCTCTAGCACCTAATATAATCCCTCCCCCTTAAGGTCCTGTCCTTAGGACCTTAAGCAGTGCTCTAGTAGGCCCCTAGGGCTTTACTGCTAGCTAGTATCTTAGAGGTATCTAGGAACACCTCTAGGCTTAGTAGGTTACTAGGTAAATAGCTGTCTCCTTAGCTAGCTAATTACCTTTAACTTTGCCCTTATAGTTATTATAGTCTAACTAAGCTAGGACTATTATTCTCCTAGGGTTATAGTTATTCTTAGCTAGGTTATAAGCCTTTATTACCTAACTAGCCTTACTAAGGGTTACTTACTTTATAATAAGGACACCTTATCTACCTATAATACTCTTATTACCTCTTTATCTTTTTAACTATAATACCCCCTTAGGTACTATATACCTTTAGTAAGCCTTTATTATATAGTTACCTCTTTTATTACTTCTATTTCCTTATAGCCTAAGCCTTAAGTTATACTACTTTTATAATAAAGGAAAGCCCCTATTTTACCTTTTAGTAGGCTACACTAGTAACCCTTTAGGTCTTATCTTTTTTTTTCTTTTTTACTGTTTTCTTTTTACTCTATAGGCTTAAGATACTATTATAACTTACCTTATTATTCTTACTTAGCCTAATTAGGTAACCTTCTTAGCTTTACTTTTTCTTTAATTTTTTTACTTTTAATTTCTTTCTCTTTTTTTTCTTTTAATAGCCTTACTTTATTATTATTTTTTATTTTTCTTGTTTTACTACTACTACTACTATTACTACTATTACTTAGTAGTAATAGTAATAATAATAGTACTAGTATTAGCACTAGCTCTCCTACTACTACTATATTTTTTTTTACTTTTACTAATACTTCTACTAATAATACTACTACTACTACTACTAGCCTTACTACTACTAGTTTTACTAACTAGGGTAGTTTTACTAGCCCCTTAGTGTTTCTCTTTACTTTACTTACCCTCTACTACCCCTACGCCTATATTAAAAAGAATAAGCTTATTTATAATATACCCTATAACTACTATATTTACTAGATAACTAACTAGTGTTCTAGTATATTAGGTGCTTATACTACTGCCTTTTTTTACTATATAAAGACTACCTATATACTTCTTTTTATACCTAGTGCCCCTCTAGTGTCCCCCTTTTAGTGCTTTAGCTAATATATCTTAGCTACTAGTAATAAGTGTACTTATTATACTACTATATATAGTAAGCCTTATATCTTAGTATATTTACTTTTACTTCTACTGTCCTTATAACTCTTAGTAGTTACTAACCTCCTAAATAAGCTACTTATACTACTACTATAGCTAGTATTAAGTTATACTACCTTTTTAAGGCTATAAACTATTCTACTAAGCCTACCTATGTTTACTATAGTATTACTATATATTTACTTCCTTTAGTGTCCCCTTAGTAACCCTTTATACTA